TCAATATTGGTTGCAAGGAAAGTTACTGGATTTGGGATCAACAGGTGGCAGCTTGTTACAGCTATGTTTGCCTTCTGGCAGAGAGGTATTTTTTTTATGGGCTGCAGCCATCAGGACAACAGCTTGTGAGAATCTACATAACAGGTTGAATCTCTCTGAAACACCAGGTTGGGGACAGATCACCATGGAGAAAATCTATGTGGTTCGTAAGAGGTGACACCAAATTGATGGCCCACAATCAATCACCAATTTATTACTAATAATACATGTATTTATTATTTACCTGTCTAACTCACCTTTTGGAACAGGAGCTTAAGGAGATTGTATACAACTGACTGTGGGACTCCGAGGGACTGGCCCAGCGTCCCGCGTGGAGCTTCCATGGCTGGGGGTGGCTAGACCCTGGGCCTCCCCAGTCCTAGCCCACCCCCTCCTCACTATCCAACCCAGGTGCACTCTTTTGATAGCAATCCTCCTCCTTCCCAGCTGTGGTGGCCATTGCTGGGCTCAGCAGGTCTTCCTGGATCTGCAATTTTCACCTGTGCTCTGGTTTCCAACTGGGTCTCTCCTTGGTCTTCACATCTCCATGGCTGTGTCCTCAGAGGGCTTTGTTCTTTGCCCGCTTTCTTGCTCTGGTTGTTCTTTTTTTGCTCCCAGAGTCCATACTCTTTACACCCGCCTCTCAGGCCCCGCAGTAAACGATTTCCCCTCTTCCTGGCCAGCCCCTCTCTTGCTGTATTCCTGTTTCTCCCACCTGGTCAACAGGGCAGGACCTTCTCTCGAGTACCCTCTTCCCATGTTGCTCCAACTTCCTTGCAGGCGTGGCAGGATCGGGGCCCTCCGTTACGGCATTCTCTCCACACACACCACAAACACAGGGTTGAAAGCAAATAATCGTTGCAGTTTTTATTGGACAGGGTGCACTGGAGGGAAGCTCACCAAGGGTTCGTGGGGGACACCCCTGCAAACAAAAGAGATGCACTGATGTTTCGACATTTCAGAAAAGGGGAAGGGGAAAAGGAGGCATGCATACAGATTCACGAGATGATGCAGGCGTACATCAGCAAGTAATAGATCTTGAGTTACTTTCTGCCCCTCTGTTATCTACTGTTGTCTACAAGGAAAACAATAGCCTTACTGAGAAGAAGAAACAAATCAGTTCGAGGTGCCAAGGCCAGGAAGAACGCATCCTCCTTCAAGGCAGATACTTTGGTGGCTATGAGGATGTTTGTGATAAGGAATTTACAACCAGCCTGATTCCCACCAGCTTCAAGGGTGCTGCACGTCCTTTTATATTTCAATTTTATTAAGGGCTCCCATTCATCAGAAGCCTCTAAAACAGTGTTTCTCAGCCTTGGCAGCTTGAAGATGGGTGGACTTCAACTCCCAGAATTCAGAAGG